AATACTGTTATTCTATAAAAAAATGGCACACTCTTGATAATTATATTGAAGAAAAAAAAAAAAAAATAAACTAAAATAGTTTGAAATGCGGTGCTTAATATGTTGCATATTCATATTATTAGCAGCTCGTTTATGGTTATATATCCCAGTCGATATAGTCCTGCTTGTGAAGGTTCCCCTCACGATATCAAACAGCAGGTTCTTAGCCAAAATAGTTGCCTAGTTGGGTGGATAAATGAAAACGTGATAAAATGCAGCAACATCTTTGGAAGCTGGAGTCGCTGGTTCGAGTCCCAGTGAACTCGAACAGAAGTCTCTTGAGGAGGAGTGGTAAAATCCGAAATAGCCGCTATAAATTCTACCACATGTAAATATTGTTATCAATCGTTTAATCTCATTTCCTACTGATATTAGGTTATTAAAGGTATTTTCTGTAAATGTATAGAAACATATGGATATATATTTGTGATTATTATTGGCCGTGCAAACAGTACAATTCTTTGTGCAATAATATTTATCAGTATGTTTACTTTATCCGGCACTGCTGTAACCTAAATAACAATTTTAGATTAGAAAATGTGCTTACCATGACATCTTGGTAGCGCTTATCTCCATGCCGATAAAAAAATTTTAAGGGGCAAAATCGAAACCAAATAAATAAATTTAATATTTATAAAAATGCTTTCGACGAATTTTATTTGTCACAAACCTAAATAAAATATAATAAAATGAAAAATTAGATTAACAAATTTATTAATTTGCTAGCTTAACCAAGTTTCACCAAACACCATTCCCAAGAGTGTGCCATTTAAGCTAATAACTTTTCGATTAAATAAAAAAAAAAAATATTGTTTCAAGTTCACTAATGTTTCGCCCTATTTAATCAAAATTGTCGCATTTAGTCCGAAGTGAGTGACGCTGCTGTGTCTGGCAACTTGGATGCCCCCGAAGGTGGCTTTGATGCCATAATGCAAGCGATGGTTTGTCGTCAGCAGATCGGCTGGCGTGAGAAAGCGCGTCGTCTACTTGTCTTCTCAACAGATGCTGGCTTCCATTATGCTGGTGATGGCAAGGTAGATAAATGAAAAATAAATCACAGTTAAATTAGTTTTAATAAATGTTTCCTTATCTTTCCATTGCCAGCTTGGCGGTGTGATTACCCCCAACGATGGTGAATGTCACTTAAGCGCCGATGGTCTTTACACTCACTCGGTTATACAAGATTATCCCAGCATTTCACAAATCAATCACAAGGTGAAACAAAATTCGATTAACGTTATCTTCGCTGTTACCGCCAATCAGCACTCGGTGTATGAAAAGCTTTCGCAACACATTGAGGGTTCTTCTAGCGCGGTGCTGTCAGAGGATTCATCGAACGTGGTCGATCTGGTACGCTCTGAGTACAGCGTAAGTATTGGGCGGGCATAAAGTATTTTAGCATTTTTTCTTTTAATAGCAACAGCTGCTTTTTTGCAGAAAATCTCCTCATCCATTGAAATGAAGGACAACGCCACTAGTCACGTGAAGGTGACCTATCATTCGGCGTGTCTAAATAGTGGCTCCGAGATACCTACCGC